GGGCTGCGGGAGAGACGCGCTCGCGGGGGCGGGAGGGGGCGTGGCTAAGGCAAAAGGCGGTATTTGCGGGGCGTCTTGAGACCGTGGCGGCGGGGGGACGCCCGCCGGCGGGCAGGGTGCCGGGCTGAGCGGGGAATGCCGCAGGGCCAGGGTCCGGTTTGGGAACGGGAGGAGAAGAGGAGGAAAGGTGGAGGCAGGGAGAGTCTGATGCGATTGAGAGAAGCAGGAGTTCGGAGGTCAGGGGCAGGCGGAAATGGGGAGGCAGATGCAGAAACCCGGGAGAGGAAATCTGAAGTGTCTGGGCAAGGAGGCAGGGCTGTTCCCAAGGACAGAACCAGGACAGAACCGAAGTCCTTATGAAGAGCAAGTCAAAGGTCCACGTTAGAAGATCTAGATAAGGAAGAGAAGTCGCAGCAGAGACCTGGAGAAAAGGACTCCTGGCATCTTGGGGAGGAGGGGATGTGGTGAAAGAGGGAGCAGCAAGTGGCAACAAGAATGAAAAACAGGTTCGCACACAGCAGCCTCCACTGGCAACCTCCTAGGGTCAGAGCCCGGCCAGGCCCTGAGACACAGGTTAGCAAGTCTCAGCCCCTGCTTGCCAGGAGCCTCAGGAATACAAACAGCCCCGCTCATTGGGGTGACAGCTGTGGTGGCCAAGGACAAACCAAGGTCTGAAGAGCACAGGGGAGAGACAGGGATGAGGACATGAAAGAAATGTGGAGGCAGAGACCCTGCAAGATATCGAGGGAGGCAGGATAGCCTCAGAGTGAGAGGAAACCAGAGGAGCGATGGGAAGATATGGAAATAGTACTGAGACGTATGCAAAGACAGAGGAGAGATGCAGAGAGATACACAGGGATGCTGACATGCAGACCCAACCAGGGAGAGAAGAAGTGGACAGAGCCTCCGGAGGAAGCAGGGGAGAGGAGAGCCCACTCCCTGGAGATAGGGAGGGAGGGGAAGCAGAAACACTGCAGGGAAAACTGCAGAAACACAGAGATGCTGAGATACGGGCTGAGTGACACTGCAGTCACACACACGGCCCAGTTGAGAAGCGGAGTGAGCATCTGTGACCTCTGGCACTCACCTAGGTGGAGAGACAGCCAGGCTGAGGCAGATAAGCTGCTCCATGCTGACTGGGAGGGGCATGGGCGAAAGAGCAGAGTGCAGACCCTCGTGGGCTCACCTGTGCTGGAGTAAAGATGCCAGCACAGGCTTACGGCTTCCAGTCGTGCAGGCTTGCACCCAAACATTTCTGGGAAGCCCCTGAAGATAGAAGCCCACGTAGCCCCTAATAGATACAGAGGCCGATGTACACACAGGCCAGCCCCAGACACACAGATGCCTGCAGACATTCATATGGTCAGACGGACACATGAGCAAACAGCTCTGTGGAGGACACTAGTCTACACCAAGGCCCTGGACACGTGCGGGGCTGCTCATACACACCAGCCCTCCTACGCTCAGTCTCCCCCCCCCAAGCCCTGCTACAAGCAGACACTGAAGCTCAGGCCATGTAGGCATGATTGCCCTGTGGCATCAGACCTCTCTCTCAGACACACACACATTAGATGACATTGGCTGTGCGGAACAGGGTTGGGCTTAGGGGCATGGGGGCCTCATCATGCCAAGCCAGGACTTGGGCTTAGAACTTCTTCCCAGAAGACTGGAGGCCAGGTTGGAGGAGCTATGCGCACTCTCCCCTCCCCAGGGACCCCTGACTGGGGTTGGAGAAAGGCTACTGGGTGTCCCTTGCCAGTAAAGGGGAGTAACCGAGGCTTTGGTGGCTGCCTGTGTACTCTATGAGGGCAACACCGGCAGGTCAGATCGGCCGAGTGTGTGGGACCAGAAAGCGAAGATCCTTTGACTTTTTAGGAGCATAGAGACATGGCCCATGGTTTCCGAGTCAGGAGGACCTGGGTTTTAACCCCAGATTTCCTGCTGACAAGCTGTGTGAATTTGGATGAGTCATCTAGCCTCTCTAAATCTCAGTTTTCACCTCTGAAAGGTGGCGATGATACCGACCCCATGGCAGTGCTGTGAGAATTCCATGACATAATCTAAGGAAAACGCGGGAATGGCATGGCATAGCAGAGGTGCTCACTAGACGGGACTTTGATTAGGATCTGTCTCTCACACACACACACACACACACACACACACACACACACACACTTGCATGATCCGTTTTCAACTTAAACACTGACTCTACACATAGGGAATCTATAGGGAGGGCAGTGTTTCTTTCCCTAATAAGCACATAAAGAGTCACCATCTATGCACCCAGGAACACAAGGTATGCGCCTTTGTGGGAGGGGTCCGCAGGCAGGCCCAGACCCAGACTCTGGGCAGGTGAGGCAGCTGTGCGGTGGGAGATGGCAGGGAGAGCCTCCGCCCACTGTGCACTGATATGTAAGTGGTTTAAATGGGAGGAGCGGCCAGGTTCTCAAAGGAAACCATTTTCCTTTCCACTAGTGCAGATTGAGACCATCCACAGCCCACAGAGGAGCACTCAGATACCCTCAGGCACTCTGACAAGCCCCTTTTCAGATAGGCATATGCTCACACACATTCTCCCTCCCGTCTCCAGGGGCTGGAGATTGGTGAGTGGAGAGAAGAACAGGTGGGCATCCAGATGGGTAGCCGAGGATAGAGAAGGGGGGCTAAAGTTGGGGTGGGGGCCCTGAAAGAGAAAGGCTGAGGGGCTGGCAGGGCGAGCAAGATGAGTGGGATGAGTCTGTGTTCTGAGGGCAGCAAGGAGAGGAGATGGGCTCGGAGCAGAGAGAGGTCAAGGTGAAGTCTGATGCTGAGGAGGGAGCAGAGGATTCTGGGAGATGTCTGCAGGGGAGGAGAAAGGGCTGCAGAGGACGTGAGATGGCCCCGGGGAGAATGGGGAGAAAGGCGGTGCTGCTGGGTCATGATCCAGCTCCCTCACCAGGCACCACGCCGGGATGCCACCCTGGTGCCTGCCAGGTAGAAAGGGAGCGGTGACTAGGGTGAGGAGGCCCAAAGCCCCTTGCAGGAAATGCAGTGAGGGGTCAGGAGCCGGAGGGGCGTCAAGGGGGCAGGTGGGGGTGCAGGGTGTGCTGTGATGTTGGAAATATGGGGGAAGCTGGGAGTGGAGCAAGAAGGCGAAGGGAGTTGCAGTGGCTTGGAGAAGTGGTTTGTATCTCACTGTTCATGCGCCTGCCGGGTGGCCCCCTAAATTCCGCATAAACCCCGCTTAACCTGTCCCTCTCACTTCTAAACCGTCCTCTAAACGCAGCAACCAGCTGGGCCACTGGTGCCTCCTGCCCCCAACTTAAACCTGCTAAATGCCCCCCCTGCCCACCCCCCACCTTGGGGTGGGGAAGGAAGGGGGCCGCAACAGCTTGACCACAGATAAACCTATTTAACCTCTGACCCTTAACCTTCCAGCTACCTTTTCTTTTATGTCCCCTCTCTTTTTCTTTCTGTCTCTTTTGCTTTGGGTTGCTCCTGCCTCCAGGGTGGGGCTGGCTCGGGAGGGGGCCCAGGGAGAAGAGGGACCCAGCGTTTCTCCTCCTCCCTTCCCCCTCTCTCCGTTGGATGTCGCTGCTTACTCTGAGTCTCCTGAGAAATGCATAATTACTTTTCTAACTCCTTTGGACTTCGCCGCCTGAGAAACCTACTGTCTTTCTAAACTTTTCCAAGGAAACTTTGATAACGAGCGCCTGGCGATTGCTAGACAGAGAATCCCCTACCGGCTTGGTCGAGTAGTAGATGAGTGGCTGCTCGACAAAGGTAATTAACCAGAATTAATTAATTAATTAATTAACTTTAAAAACACTATCTTAAAGGTGCAGAGCTCTCTCTTCCCCTCCATGCCTTCACCAGTGCCCGCTCCCCAGCGAAGGGACCGTTGTCCAGCCAGGATGCACCCTTCCCTTTGGCAGTCAAGGGTCTGTGCCTTTCAGAGTGGTGGTTTGGGGGCAAGGGTGGGGTTTTTCCTGGAAAGGAGAGTCTTGGTTTCTCTCTAGGCCTGGGATCAGATGAGGGTGATCCACAGGATCCCTGACCAAGGAAGCTCCTGGTGCGTGCCAGCTGTTAACCTCAGGCAGGCTGGAATGCAGGTCTGCGGTAGGTTCCCTCTGCCAAGGCTTATCTCAGTTCTGTCAAGAGCCTGCTGAGGCACTTGGAGGCAGGAGCCTTTGGGAAGCAGGAAGGCCTGACCTAAGAATCCAAAAGGGGGGGCGAGAGGCTTCACCGGGGTCCCATGAGGAGAACAGAGAAGAGTGGGGGCCCCGGGCCCTACTGGAAAGGCGCTCCCCGAAGAGTGCCCACGGTGGTCCAGAGGGCATCCTTAGAGGTGCGGGAGAGACTGCAGGAGACAGGGGAGGGCTGGATTTCTGCACCCGAGAAGACAGAACAGGCTCCCCACCAGGCCCACATGTGGCGAGGTGCGCTGGGTGAGAGGGAGAAGGCTTCTTGCCACCAAGGGAAGTTGGGGGCCAAGGGCGAAGCCGTCCCATTCCCTCTGGCGGGGGGAGGGCGAGCTCTGTACCTCTAAGGCTAAACTCTAAGGGGGACATAGAACTGTTAAACCTCCACTTAACCAGCTGATAACTGTGCTTTTAAATGTCCACTGGGGCCTTCCCCAACTAAAACCCCCAAATGTAACTTCCAGCCTCCACCCCGTGGGGCCTAAACCTGCTGATAACCAGATGTGATAAATCCATAACAGGACAAAAAGTTAAAGGGACTGTAACAGACATCGCTAAAACCTACAGCCCCCAGCTAAGTGGGCTGCCCTCTCCAGCGGGGCGAACTTTAACCCTTTGAGGAGTTCATGGCGGGTGGGGCCAGGGGCCACAGGGATCAGTTTGCCAACCCTGTGGCTTCCTCTCCATTACCCACCTCCCTCTCCCGGAATCAGAGAGGCCAAGGGAGCAGCCTGGGCTGAGGCTGGGACAACTTGTGACCCCAAGGGCAGAGGGAGCTGGACAGGCCCTGCTGGAGGCATGGGGGCGGGGGCTGTGGTCAAGATGGGGGAAGAGCTCAGGCTGTCCTTCGTTCTCTTTTGGGGCCTGGATTTCCTCTTCTAAAAAACGACAGATTGGGCTAGATCGGTAGTTCCCAGTAAGACAGGGACAGTGGTCCTCGCTCAGCCCACCTCACAGGCATGTTGCGAGGATGAGATGAAATAAAAAGCGGGAAAGTATTTGAGAGCAAGCTCTGGGGATGCGTGCAGGGAACCTTTTATTGTCAGCGCCTGGCATATGGTAGGTGCTCAATAAATATTTATTGGAGGAATCCATTTTCTAGCTCCAAAACATGCCCTATGAAACAGTCCCATGAGATGGCTTCACAGTAAAGAGATTTGTGGAGAAATGAGTTTGGGAAGTGCTGAATCCTGTTTCTTCCTCGTGGAGATGCATGTGTACATTAGCGTAATAAAGGCTTCGAGAAGTCCTTGGAGAAAGAAACCTGTTCAGTTGTGAAATGTTCACCTCCCAGCTCATTTGACCCCTGTGACCCTGCTCCCTTTTGTTTTCCTCATGATTCTTTTGTCTGGGAACAAGCCTGGACACGGAAATCCTTCCTCCCAGGCCTCTCTGGGTCTGGTATTCCAGAGCCTAACCCAGAGCCACCCCCATGAGTCTTCTGCTTCTTGGGCTGCGGCTCGCCTACCTGTAAGGGGCCACGCTGCCTCCCAGCTGTCCTTGCCTGGGTGGGTGGTGGGAGGA